ACATTTGAATAGCAATAACTGAATCATCAACGATAGTAAATAATGAAATTGATGGTGCAGTTCGTGTTTGTTGCATGCTGTAATATAGCAGATGACGCAACATCTTGAAGGACGTCGTTTCTTATTTGAATTTGATTGGTTAGTGTTTGGCCCACTACAGAAATGCCTTGATCAGTTTGTTGCTGAGAATTACTAATGTAGTGAATGGAGGATAGTAGATTGGCCTGAAATGCTTATTTGTTGACTGTCACTAAGTGAAAATGAAGCGGAAAAGTAAAGTCGTACGAAAAAGTAAAACTTTCAAAACGAAAAATCATGTGGAAGAGTTACTTCTCCGCACGCTCGTAGAAAAAATAATGTATGGATTTTGAATAGTTATGTTCCAATCATCGACGACAAGCGACAACAAGCGCGGTTAGTATTTGGATGGGTGACCGTTTGAGTGTACTGGTTGCTGTGATCGTTCTTATTCCTTTATATTTTCGATGGCTGCACTAGTTGCCAACTTCAGTATACAGGTGCGAATCAATAGAAAATATGTGATTTTCACGTAATTTGAGAAATCAATACTTGGACATGAACGAAAAATACCTAAAAAAGGACGTCTTAAGGATGCACAGATCATTGAAAAATGTACGTCTTCAAAATGTCCAAGGACGTATGTGAGACCTGGAATGTACGTCTCAAAGACGTACTCACTTAGTGGAATATACCTCTTGAGGACTTCTTAAAGATGTACTATCGATGATTGGGACAGATTGTTTGCCGAATCCTTACATATAAGGCATATAAATGGCAACATATTCTCACGATGAGCGTTGCTCTTCGTGACTGCGATGTTGCCAAATGCCATCCTTTCTCGATACTCCTATATGCAACGATTCGATAAACAATCTGTATAGAAATCAGTTGAATGCAGTATGGAGATTTCAAATTCTCAAAGTCGAATGTCTGAAAAAGACGAGTCAGATACTTACTAAGAATTATTATATCATCCTGACGAAAGATTCCATCGAACGTTTGTCTAAATTATTTTTTCATTCGCGTTTAACCTTTGAAAGAATATTCTGATACAACAAATCTGAGATTTGTGATGTATTGCTGACTATGAAGGATGCTTTTTTGCCATTCAGTTGTTCTTTTCCGTTTTCGAAACCCGCACCAATCAACGCGCTGGAAATCAGCCGATTAATCGAGTTACCAACCTTTATGCAAGGATTCGTATAGACGAATAGAGATTGCAAGTATTCCTCTCCTTCTGCCCTCTACATGGCGTTGTGTCCGTTTCGCAGTGGCCAAACGCCTCGTGGGTATTGAATGCTGAAAGGTGTTTACGTTGGGTCAGGTTCACTCTCGATGGCGGTCATGAATGCCAGCTTGGGACACCCTTGCACTGATGAGGGCCAATGCCCGCGAAACCGATCTGTAGGTAGTCAAGCTTTCCTGAACAATGTTAGCACAATTGACCACTGGAGAAAGAAACACTTGCAATTTGTATTCATCTATACGAATCGTTGCATAGATTTCGGGACAATGTAACTCAATGTTGCGCGTGGCATATAGCCACGAAAGTAGTTGTTTCTCTCTTGTTGACTGCCAGTTTCCTTCATTTTTTGAACATATTGTGGAAATGACTTTGAGTTTCTCCCTCTTTGTTAAGCTAGGTTATTCTGAATCTCGACCAAGTTTCCATATGGTGTATTGAGATAATTATGATAATAATAATGATACATTTTCGTAACGGAATTCTTCTTCAAGATACGAGGTGTTGAAAAATCGATTTTCTATCCATTTTTCATGATCATGTCGGAACTTCTGGGATTATTGTAATGACATTTTGTTCGTATATTTTTGAATAATGGCATCACATCGCATGAATTCGTTTCTACATCTGATGCTCGTGGGCAGAGTCGTGGGAGCTTGTTACACTATTTGTACCGAGTAGTTTTTCAAAGGTGAGATTTTCTAGGCCAAAATTTTTACACTAAAAAGGTACTCTTGGTAAACCCTGATACCGTGTACCGTATATCGAAAAATTTTTATTCAAAAATAATATTGAATGAATATTGAACCAATAAAGTGTGAATGTCGAGGAAATATTAATTTCAATTATTGGGTCAATCAATCAATAAGAACATTCTGTGATCTTGATGGTATGTTGAATTTGAATCCTGTCTCGATATGGTCTATTCAATATCGAGTTTATATTCGTATTCAAGATTGGACAGAGATTTGATGCCAACTGAAAGAAACCAGTTCTCCATAATTCTCACATGTGAATTCGATATCGAATATATATTCGCCAACTATATTGGTCAAAATGAGAATGTGATAATTTTGCAATATCATCTTCATGTTGAATTATAATATTCGATCGATATTGTATTTCGTTTTTGCTACAAAATTCAAGTTCAAAATGCAGTCATATTAGCCTCTTGAAAAAAAATAGTGATATTGATACATTATATTATTAGCATAATGTATCAGATCCACTTTCGTTCTCTGTTTCCCAGAATACCAAGTTGAACAAATGCTGCGGTATTAGATGCCTTTGAGCAGTCGATTGTTGGAGACGTGCTAGAGGCGCCAGCAGTTATAACGTCGCTTGAACACTAAAAGAAATAATACTAATATCGATTCGATATCAGAAAGCCAATATCAGTGCAATATTGGTTCTGACATATTTCATTAGTTATATCTAGCTGAAATGGGTCTCATATTGATAAACTAATTTTGGCCAAATAATCAATACAAATATGGAAAAAATGTTTGTAGCAAATATTATGCAATATTCAATAATCCTATGGAACATGATGTATAGGAGATATAATATCTTGATGATATTCATTCGATATTGAAATCAAATCAAAAATTATATATATGTGATAACATTTTCATTATATCGGATTGATTGATATCAAAGACCCAATATCAGTGCAATATTGCTGGACAATGAAATGCAAATATTCACTTACCACCATGAATCTGATATCGATGCAATATTCCTCTCAAGATTGATTCGATGTTAGGAACACGCAATATCAGCCCATAATGAGAATTGACATATTGTAATCGTTGATATTCCGCCAATATCCAATAGATATTCGAAGATGGATATCGGCTGGTCAAAAAATGTTTATGTTATTACAACATTGACTGAAAAATCGATTTTCGAATATCGTGCTGATGTGAAACCAAGAACTAGCCAATATTATGTTCTACCTGGGCTGTTACTGGTATAAAGGTGTGTCTAGAGAAAGTAATTTAGAATATTATTACCTATTTATCAAAAGTCGAAAACAACAAACAACATGCAATGATTATTAATTGAATCAAAAGAATAACATCGAAACAAATTTGACTAAGACTAGAACTTGAACGGAGGACATTCTGTAGACTAATCCTATATAATTGATTCAATATTTTATATTTTGAGTCTGATTTTTTCGTTCAATCAAAAACGTTATAATAGAATGATGTTATTGTTGTTGGTTTTGAATGAATAGGTACTTGATTTTGATAATACTCATTTCATACCAACTTCAGTTATTACTTCATTATTTTCAAATCGAAATATTCTCGAATGGGGATCTAATAACTTGGTAGATATCAATGCAAACAAAACACAAACAAGCATGCCTTTTTTCTATAAAAGCCGATCTCACTGTGCCAAACATAAGCATGTCAGGAGTAACCATACCTTTGAAGACTTCCATTTCGATGCTCTTTATTACTATCAGCAATACCTTTTCTTGGGAAAATCACGTGAGATTAATTGCTAAAAGCGCATTCCAAAAACTTTTTGTTTGTTTCGGGCCAGGAGCTATTTTACTTCCAGTGGGCTGCTTATGATCTATAAGGCACAGATCCAACCTGTCCTAGAATACTGTATCCATATTTGGAGTGCAGCACCCAAATATACTCTAAAACTGCTGGCTCTTCTGAAATATCAACAATTCTACCTCTCTTGGCAGTCCCCGCGAGGTTTACCCGTCGAGTTGGGGCTTCGCACCCCTTTGTGGTCACTTCGGAGACCTGCAGAATATCTCCTTCCAAACAGCGAGGCTCTGGAACACATTACCAAGGGAGGTGTTTCCCGAGGCATATAACCTCCAGAAATTTAAGGAGCACACCAATTCCTACCTTATTTTCCTTGGTTCCCTCGATGTTCTCTGAATATTACAGGATATCGCTTTTCGTGGGAATCAGAACATAAAAAAAAGTATTGCGTTTTTTCAAGAGTAGGTAGGGTACTTTTCGGTAGAAAATTGATGTTCAAGTTCACATAGAATTTTGACTCAAAATTTCTAGCCTCAAAAAAGTGTTTGAAACTACTCGGTATAAAACCGTGTAAGTAGTTTCCTGTAGCAGAGTCACATATGAACACAAATTCTTGCGATGTGCCATCTTCCAATACATATTCGTTCCTAATGTTATCAAATTTTTTCCAGTTTCGAACTAATCGTAAACATAAAAATCTATTTTTCAAAACATTGTTAACGGCGAATACGGAGGCCTTAACGACATTGTTTTAATGGGCAAACATAACTTATTTCGCAGTGTTCCTGCTACCTTTGCAACGGATCAACCATTTTTGAAGCATTCTGTCTACAGATACTTGAGGATTCCTACCCCTTCACCTGCAATCAGTGTTGCTATAACTGCTGAATGTGTAATTTTACTGAAATCGTGAGAAAAGTCGCTAGCGATCTGAGCGAGCGAAAGAGTCCACCACAAGTAAGACTATTGGTTGAGCAAATTTTCTTCGTCATTTATCGACATTTATGAGCACCTTGTGAAAGGCGATCAGATATAATATCAATGAAACGATAATTTCATTCATTGCATGTGAACTCTCAATCAGCGAATCAAATTGTGAGTTTGGTATGTTTTCATCATTCAGAAAACATTACAAGAAAGGCTGTGCATCACAGTATGTATGAAAATGGGTTAAAATATGTATTTTCTCTCAACAGGATGGAGCACCTTCACATTAATCTATGAGAGAGTGAGTGAGAGAATACCTAGACAATTCTCTAATCGCTGGAAAGTTCGTGGCGGCCCTCATTCTTGATGGCCCCCTAGGTCCCCCAATCTCACAGTATTGGACTATATGTTATCTATGGAGACAGATAAAACGATTGGTCTATCAGACTGGAGTCAACACCAGAGAGGAACTGAGAGAGAGCAGGTTTGTTACAGCTTCAGAAAACCAACAGAGATCTTCCGAAGATATATAGAAAATGTATAGAAATTGGAGAAGGATATTTCGAGAATCTTCGTTGGAAAGTATTAGGATACAGACGAATTTTTTTCGAAAATTTTGTTTTGTAATTTTTTACTAAAACCAAGTCCGGTCCTGATTTTTTCAAATAATACTTTTTCTCAACTCTGCTGTTATATCAATATGCATTGAAACTGACTCGAATATTTTTACTCGAATGTAGAGAGTAATGGACCGGACGAAATCGAAGAAATATTCATCTGAATTTTGTTTGAAATCCTGTCGAAGTGTGCCGTACAAATTGGAAAACCACACTTGTAGTATTTCTTCTTATCATTCTGATTCTAAGGTTAAGTTTTTAAAAAATTGGATTCAGGAAGTCGAAGTTTTGACATTTGAAAAGAAAATGAGTTTTTCAAGTCCGGGACTGAATTTTTTTTTATAGCAGTTTATCGTGTGGGATGTCAGAAATAATGCCCTGTATTTCAGTTACAAATAGACAGAATATAATCTCTCAGATATACATATATCAACTCACCTTGACCCCCTCTATTCGCCATTGGGCTATGGCTGGTTAGTCATGACTGAAATTTCAAGGTGGAGAAATTTCAAATTGCATCTTGTCAAAGGTATTCATAACTCACCCTGTGTATTATGAATGATGTGAATAATGTATAGAATTCCTTGGGAACGAGTGAGAACACCACTTGATTAGATCTACTATCCGTGACTTCGATGCATGATGCATTATCTATACACGCGCTTCCGTGACGCGAGTTTGCCGGTTTACTACCATCCCAGAAAGTGTCTAACGGGCCTATAGAAGTTTTCACTTCAAAAAGTATGACCAATCATTCATATTTTTCAATGAATTGGATGTTTCGGTTTGGCGCCGATCAGCCATTTCCCCAACTGCCCCCCTCCGCCCCTCCACTGCACGACGCTGCTTGACTTCATGAATAGTATCAACTTCCTGTCATACAATACATGTAATTTTGAATTTATACCTAATTGGTGAACAGCAAGATCTTACACTATCAATAAGCCATCTGATAAAGATCGTCTGCTTTAATTGCTACAAAAAGTAAATCGAACTTGTTTCAAGACGCCTGATGCTTACTCTATTCGCATCATTTAGTTGTGACTTTTATAACGTTGTATGTTCGAAAACAGTCGAAGGATATGCCATTTATATACCAGTAGCGTAGTTTGAAGTATCATTGCCGTAATAGTCGACATTCTTACATGCCTAGTTGTACGTTTAAATACGTAAGAAGAATAATAATTCTCAATTCAAATTGAATGAGCAGAACATACAATGAATTTTTTCTAATACTGTTGTAGATGCAAAATACACATAGATTTTTTTTTAAATTGAATGGATGAGGATGAATCAAATGAAGTGGGAATTGTAGCATGAAGAAAAGTTGATAAGTTGAGAGGATATTGATTACTCTGATACAACATCGCCTAGGGATAGTCCTGCACGATTCACTGTTGCGTCCAGTGCTGCTCCTAAAGTGGCACATGGAGTCAGTAACAAAGCCTACACAGAACACACAGGAAGACATGATGATGATGTGGTTATGCGTCCGAGAAGAAGTAGGACAAGGTATGTAGGTGAGTATGGAAAAACCGCAGCTGAGCGTGAGAGGCCAATGCTGCTTAGTGGGCCTCCTCTAACGAGTGTTAACGGGGCAGCTGGCCAATGCTACTTTGTGGGGCTGCTCAGTGGGCCTCCTCTAACGGGGGTTAACGGGGCAGCTGGCCAATGCTACTCAGTGGGCCTCCTCTAACGAAGAGGAGGAAAACTGAAGCGGGAAGTAGCACCGCCACTGCCAAGCAAACTGGGCAAACCACCAGTTATGCTGAGGCAGTCAGCTCAATAAAAATAGCAGTCCTCTCAAAAAACTACCCGGAGGAGACGCTGAGTGCTGAGCAGCTTACAGCACTGGAGGACGCAATCGTGCAGGAGATGATACTGGGCGCGGAATGCAAACTCCAATTCGGGGGAATTCACTTCCGCCCCAGTATGCTCGTGGTAGACTGCGTCAACCAAGAAACGGCGGACTGGATGAGGGCAAAGGCCCCCAGTTTGAGCACCTGGGAAGGTTCAGAGCTGATGGTGTGCCTGGGAGACGACATCCCAAGGGCGCACACCATCACGGTGTTCTTTCCCAGGAGCACGGACCTCGAACCAGAGAAGTTGCTCACCCTAGTGAGCACACAAAATAGGGGGCTCCAAACCCAGCTGTGGAGAACACTAGGGAGCAAGAAGGAGGGCAACGGCCAGCTCCTTAATCTTGGAATGGACGACGAGTCCTGCGAGGCCATCAGGAATATGGGTTACACCATATTCTACAGGTTCGGGAAAATCCCCGTTCATGGCCTTCGCAAGGACTCGACTGAGAAGAAAAGGGTAGAAGAGAGGAGCAAGACACCATCAGCTCCCACTGCCACAGAAACTACTGTGGCCAGCGAAGCCGAATCGACTGGGAGTATGGACCAGGATACCACGGTCATTCCCATCGAAGAAGAGCTAATGCTGCTGGATGATGAGGAGCCAAGCACTCCAACACACTAGCAGCAATGGCTAATACAGCATCAGTCAGGTTTGCCCAGGTGAATACTCACCACGCTAAGGGGGCATGAACCGCCTTATCGAGGGTGTTCACCGGGGCACACTTGGGAGTTGTATTGATCCAAGAACCTTGGGTCAACAGAGGGCAAATTAAAGGACTGCCGAATAAAGGAGGTGAGGTTATCTGGGATGTCAGGCATGACAACCCTAGAGCTTGCATACTGATCAGGAATGACATTAATTATGTTTGTCTTTCAGAATTTATGACGAGGAACTTAGAGCCTGTACGGGCCAAGATCCACACAGGGCACTTACACCTCGACATAGTAATAGCTTCAGGTTACTTCGCTGGAGATGGGCAAGCACCACCAGAAGAGGTACAGAGGCTATCCGATTACTGCAGCAGGAGCAAACTACCCCTCCTGCTGGGCTGCGATGCCAATGCCCATAACACCATCTGGGGAAGAACGGACACCAATCAAAGAGGTGAGCAATTGCTAGAATTCATACTTGCGGCTAACTTGAGTATACTGAATGTGGGGTCTACCCCCACCTTTGTAACTAGGGCTAGACAAGAAGTATTAGATATAACGCTCGGCAGCCCGAGCATTAGTAGAAGGGTTAGACATTGGAAGGTCTCAGACGAACCCTCCCTCTCTGACCACAGAATCATAATGTTCAATGTAGAAGGGCTTGTGACAGAAACCACCTTCATTAGAAATCCTAGAAACACAGACTGGTAAAAATACACCACCAATCTTAAATGTAATTTAGAACAAATCAAGTTCAATGGCGAAAGTCACGTCGAATTTGAGCAGACATTAGAAGCAGTTCCACCTGCAGCCAGACTGTACAAGGCCATGGCGCGGGGCAGGGAGCAAGGACCAATGTCTCTCAGAAGATCAGATGGTAGCTATACAGAAGATGAAGAGCAACGAGCTCTCCTTTTACTGCACTTTCCAGGTAGTACACCATATGATCCCGAAAGAACACTGGAAAAACCAGGCAGAGTAAAACGAGAAGACTAGGATGTTGCAAAAACCATTTGCACTCCGGCAAGGTTGAAGTGGGCAATCGACTCTTTCCAACCATTCAAGTCTCCTGGAATCGACGGTATATTTCCAGCCCTTTTACAAAAAGGGCATAAGGAACTTCTGCCGTTCATTATCAAGGCAGCCAAACTCAGTCTGGCGTTCGGGTACATACCGAGCAGCTGGACGAGAGCGCGTGTGACTTTCATCCCCAAAGTAGGGAAGAAGGACCCTACCCTTCCGAAGTCATTCAGAACGATCTGTCTCACATCCTTCTTACTGAAGACACTGGAGAAGATCGTAGATAACTACATCAGATGTGAGGTACTGGAGAGGGTGCCCTTGCACCTAGGACAGCATGCATATAGGGCGGGCAGATCAACCGAGATCGCCCTTTTCATGCTCACCGAAAACATCCAGAGATCACTTGAGCATAAAGAAATCGCCATATGCGCATTTCTAGACATAGAGGGGGCATTTGACAACACCTCTCATGAAGCAATAAAGAGAGCTCTAATGAACAAGGGCGTGGACAGAACCACATCCAGATGGATGTGCCAAGTGCTGACCACAAGAACAGCTGAAACGAAAGTGGGCGAGAGCAGCTTTCAAATCAGTACGAACAGGGGCTGTAGACGAACTACTCGGGATTCTTACTGAGAATGGAGTAACTTGCTTTGGATATGCGGACGACATAGTCATCATGGCCAAAGGCAAATTTGAGGGCACCCTCTGCGACCTCATAGAGAGAGAGTTAGAGACTACCATCAGAAGATGGTGCCATTCGGTGGGGTTGAGAATTAACTCAACGAAAACCACATTGGTACCTTTTACTAGAAGAACGAAGGTTCAGCACTTAAGAGTCGTCCGTCTAAACGGAGAAGACCTAGAATGGCAGCAAGAAGTGAAGTATCTAGGGCTCATCCTAGACTCAAAGCTTCACTGGAATAGACACGTAGAAAAGATCGCCAGTAAGGCAAAATCATCACTGATGGTGTGCAGGAACCTTGCAGGCAAAACGTGGGGATGTAACCCATCAATACTGCGATGGATGTACACCATGCTAGTGATACCAATGATCACCTACGGAGCAGTAGTGTGGAACGGCAGAACCGAACTCGCCACTACAAGGAAAATATTAGAGAAGGTGCAAAGACTGGCATGTCTTTGCATAACAGGAGCAATGAGATCAGCTCCAACAGCAGCACTAGAGGTCATTTTGGATCTCACACCTCTACACATCGTGGTGAGGAGAACTGCCTATGGAGCACATCTCAGGTTAGCCAAGGTCGGACTAAGAGGGAAAACACACAGTGTAAGGGGCTCACCCCCCACTGACATCGCATACCTCGCCGATCTTCCAACAGACCAAATCATTAGGAAGTTCAGTTTTGAGAGGAACTTCCGAGTGGAGCTGAGCAACAAGCGCGAATGGAGTACAGAATCCATCGAATCACTGGGAAGGAATACCATTACTTGGTATACGGACGGGTCTAAAACACCCGAGGGAACTGGAGCAGGAGTCTTTAGGCCTCGCACCAAATACTTCGAATCCATGGGACAATTCCCCGGCATTTTTCAAACGGAAATTCACGCCATAGGAAGATGCATCCAGTTCAACCTAGACAGGAAATACCGGAAGAAGGACATCGCGATTTTATCCGATAGCCAAGCAGCCATCAAAGCGTTGAGCTCTCCTTACATCAACTCGAAGATGGTATGGGAATGCCTAAGCAAATTGAATGAGCTAGGCAGCAACAATAAAGTTACCCTACTCTGGGTGCCAGGGCATATCGGAGTGGAGGGGAATGAACAAGCAGACGCTCTGGCACGACAAGGGGCTTCAACGCCACTGATCGGACCAGAGCCATTCTGCGGCCATGGAAATTCCTATTTCCAAGAAGAACTTGAGAAGGCGGAAGGAGCCTGGAGAGCCAGACAATGGAGAAGACTTCCAGGACTACGGCAGGCTAAAGATCTCCTTGGAAATTTCAACCGAGAAAGATCTAAGACACTGACAAACATCAGCAAAGGAAGTCTCAAAGCAATAACGGGATTTCTAACGGGGCATTGCAGACTCAAAGAACACCTAAGAAAGCTAGGCTTACAGGAGGACGGCACCTGCAGATTCTGTGAGGAAGAACCAGAAACACCCCATCACATACTGATGGAGTGTGACGCTGTACATCACAAAAGATTGAACATACTGGGAACACACCAGCTGACTGTGGAAGAAATACCACAGCTAGACCCCCTCAAAATCCTCAAATTCCTGAAGGAATTGAATCTCGAGGGGCTGCTATGAACAAGAAATCCTTATATAGCAGGAGCAGATGGGGCACAATAGATCTAATTGGGTCGCAGCGCATCTGTCACCATCCAACCTACCAATTATTGGCAGGCCTGCCTTTGCAGCATATGGTAGTGAGTACATTATTAGCCTACAAAACACATCCGAAAAACTCTGAGAGAGTGCTGATGGAACGGTACCTGAAAAGGGTTTTAGCCAGCTCTCTTAAGCGGACCACATCACTCATTAAGACACCTTGGGGCCTGCAAAAAGGTCCCATTAGGGACTAGTTGCTGACGTGCAAACGTCTCCCACCAGTACCAGTACTCTGAAACCATGTTTTCAGGATGACTCGAGATCTACTGCATTAGATGAGATATAGACTCTAGGAATCCTAGAGTTCAGAACTGAAGAACATGTTTCATATTTCAAATGAACAACGTTGAGAAGATCAGATTCTTGTTCTTGATTGGAAGATAATGAGTGTATTGAATATGGAAAATTTCAGACAACCTTCTGGGTGACTGTACGACTGTTAATCTCAACAACATTTCTATGAATTGTTTTTCAAAATGTCTATGAGAATAGCAGCCATGCTCACGGTCATAACGTCTCTGCACATAAAAATGATTCCTCATAACAAGAACATTTATTTTTGACTGACTATTCCACTCTTGGTCTCCAGAAGCAATCAGAATCTGTAACTTCCACGTTTTCTTCTGTATTATAGCGATATAATTTTGTTTCAAGAATATTATCGGACTTGCTTCAACAATACAGGAGCCAAATTAACCCACACGTAACCAACCTTCCTCGTTTTCCAGAGATAAATCAACTCATATACGGAAAACGCTATTTGACGACGACGTGAGTAATTTTAACATCGATAAACAAGGATGCACCTTTTTTATCGCTGATGAACACTAGAGTCTCGAGATCATACCCGTGTGTTCACCGAACACGCCCGATCGTTACCTAAGCGTAGGGGACGGGGAGACGTAAACAGGCAGCAGTCTACGTTATGAATATTGGCGCGTGCCAGAATTATTTTGGAGTCAAATTTGTCAATTTAATGTACTTCGAAACGGAACACTAGTAGTTGTGCCTTCTTGTTTTACATATATTATAGGTAGACATCAAATCAATAAACATAGTGCTCTCGCCATCGGTATTTGCTGAACTTCGCTATGGGAAAAAGTTGAATAACTATAATATATTGGGATGAAGAATGATCTATACAGGGTGTATCTAAATAACACCGAAATAATTCAAGGGGTGATTCCTTGTGATATAATATGATGAATAAAGGTCATATAAACATGTGTCCTAAACTTCGAACAGTGCGTTTTACTCTCAGACATTTTTTGTTGTATATTTACCCCGTTCGTGAAGTAATATATTATTTTTCCGAGAGGTTGGAATATAAATCTAATTTTTATCAACTCAGTACTCCATAGTTTCG